TTGATTTTAGGCACAATCCTTCTTAGTGTCGACAAGAAAAATAACTTACATTGTTGGAATGACTAAAATGGCATGGCCAAAAAAAAGACTTAGGAGTCTGGAAATGTTGATCGTAATAGTCTGGGTTCTACAAAGAGAGATCATTATAGAATAACAGCCATCTTTATTGTTCGTCAAGAAGATAATGTCCAACAATAATGTTTTCCGTTCTACCTTTCAGCCATCCTCAGCAAAGCTTGAAGTGACATTTCTCTACAGTTCTTGTCTGCAAATCTATTTCACTTCTTCCTCAATTCTCCTCCATGCAGAAATGTATCATTTCAGGCTGTTATTAGATCTGTTTTCAACTAACTTTGTCAAAATGTAATTACTTTTCAAAGAACTGAAGGTAGTATAATAGAAAAAAAAATCACTTACTTTGATACGCACACATATTTCTTCTTTCTTTCTACCAACTCTAGTCAAATAACTTTTATAAAGTTTTGTAGCACTGAATGGTAAAACCTGCTTGATCAGTGTGATTACTGGGCAAAAGCAATGAGAAAGAACGTCTTGCCTCCAACTCTTTTAAAAGCTACAGTTTTGTAAAATAAGCTAAACTTACTTTGTTTTCAGTTTAATGTGGTGTATGAACCTAGCTACTATATTCTACAAACCCTGGTTTATGGTTTAAAATGTTCCATGAACTTAGCCTGTATGAGAATGTTTTTGTCGAACTGTGATTTTGAGCCTAGACTTGATCACAGTAAACCTAACCAAAGAAAATTGTGCTCAAGTCCCAGTGAAATTAATGGAATGCATGCTAATAAATATTAGTTTGTTAAATATAGTATTTAACTATGTCACCTAAATTTGTTCCCTGTAACAGCCTCCTATAACCCAATGTCTCCTTTGTATTCTAGTCATAAAGCCACCCACAGACATTTTGTTCTTTTTGTTGATAGTAGAATTCTGAGTGTAAACTAGATAACGCTTTTTTCTCATAGGCAATATTTTCACCTAGGAAAGAGGAGGAGTTGCTATTGAACTGGCAGACTGGAGTCATCTGGAGAACTCTGAGAAGGAGGAGAGGTAAAGATATATGGTATATAGGAAACCATAATAGATTCTAAACACCCTTGCCTGTTGAAGACTGCTGGTTTTAGGGAAGAACAAAGATGATGGCAGACCAAAATCAACCAAGCAGTTTTAACTGAAGATGTGTTAGGGGAACTTATAGCCTTGTAAAATAGAGCAATTTGGAGAAGATCACAAAAGAGAGGGAGGCAGAGAGAGAGAGAGAGAGAGAGAGAGAGAGAGAGAGAGAGAGAGAGAGAGAGAGAGAGAGAGAGAGAGAGAGAGAAACCAGCCTATATAATTAGCCTCTTATTTCTAAGTAGGAAGAAGGAATAGAATGTAGAAATAGCAACATCTACATTTAGCTGACACACATGACAAGGTAGACTTTGCCAGAAGCAGGAAGCCTTAAATGACTAGTAAATAATACTTTATTGAGCAATGCTTTCCCAGTTGAAAATAATTCTAGCCTCAGGTCTTTCTCCTCACAGTGTATGAGTCAAGCAGGTGGAAGGAACAGAGACATAATATACATATCTAACTCTCGCAAAGGAATGCTGTTTAAAATTAAAAGTAGATACCTGTTTCATTTGCTTTGCTGTGTTGTTTAAAATAAATTCACAAGAAGTATTTGGAGTCCTGTGTATCAGATTCTATTAACCCACAGAAACCCAAAACATCAAATTCTCCAAACTGATATACATTTTCATTTTTTTATATTTATTTGCGACAAAAAACACCAATTGCTCATACACCATTTTGTATGTTATTGTTTTTATTACATTTTACAGTTATTTTGCTTGTCCTTAATTAGAACTTTTTAAAGGTCCTTAAATTTCTTCAGTGTTCAATACCAAGAAATATGGGATATAATTGTACTGTACTGCCTTTAGTATGCTACATGTCCTATGCATGTCTACTCGGTAGGAAATCCTGTTGTGTTTTGTGGAATTTACTGCAAAAGGGGGATTGCATTAATATGAAAATAAAACCCTTCATTCCATGGAGAAGAAAATATAAAAACAGGCTGTCAGAAGGATTTTTGGTTAGCCTTCTTGCAGATGTATGTTTTCATGGACATGGGGTGCAGGGCAGGGGATATTTTGCTGAACATTTATCACCTGTTTTAAATGGTAGACTCGATGGAATTGTATCTCTTGATTCTGCTTCATATGTAGAACTAATTCTAACAAATCTGAAAGGACATGTCTGCATTTGCACATGTGTAAATACATGAGCTATTTTGCTTTGGCAGAATATCCAATCATGTTATGTTATTAATATTCAATAATGCTATTAAAAACAACAATCAATGTAATGCATTTCTGGACAAGCAATAGAAAAAAAAATAGGTTCCTAGATTACTTTGAGTCACTACAAAGCCACAATAAGTGTCTTCAGAACAATATCACCTTCAGTTTCAGATAAGAAAGAAATTGCTCTGAAAATTTTTGCCAAGGCTTTGACAGTTCCTCCAATACCCAAATTCCAAAGGTTCATGACCAGTTTATTTCATTTGGGTTGATTTAAAATATTTACTTCACTCAGGAAGGTATCTAAATACCTTTTCAAGTGTTTTGACAGTAGCAGGAGCTGTCATATAAGTTGCTTTCTCACTAGGTCTACACAACACATTGATTACAACAGCATCACCAAGCAATTGGACACAACAATGGAGGGACATTCCCGGAATACAATAGAAGCCAGAGGTGGGGAAATGACCATAGTAATTAAATGGAAAATCATTTAAAGCTAAAAGCTAAAATGAGATACTGCCTTGGATTGGAAACAAAATGGGTCTTGCCTGAAGAGAACTGAAATGTGTAGACTGGTATTCGGAGGATCAAAGCAGTCTCCAAAATACTTTTTTTCCTGTGCAGCCCAATAAAACTTGAGTTGCTGGATCAGGCCTAATCCATTTAGTCCAGCAATCTTTTTCTAATATTAGCCATGAAAAAAAATCTCCTCTTATTTAATCTCAGCATTAGACTTAGGCTGTCTCTAAACATGATCAGTTGTCGTAACTGTTACTTGATATTCTAATGTTGAATTTTAAACTATAATTCCAATAATAACACTTTTTTTAAAAAGCCATCTAGGTCCTCATTCACATTAATAGCAGATGCTGGATAATGCCAAATCGCCATAATATTATCCACATGCTACATCTGAATGAGACAGTTCAATGGAATTTTATCAAAATATACAAACCGTTGCAACACATGCTTAGCAACTATTGTATTCTTCCATTAATGCAAAGAATTGATGTCAATGCTCACTATATTCTTTCCCAAATGGGTTTACAGTCAGTTTTATTTTATCTCTCGTCTCCATTTCCAGCTTCACCTCTGTCCGTTTTTCAATGATACCTTCACCCCAGCTACAGCCACCTTCCCCCCCTATCTGGCTGCAACAATTGCAACTGTTTAATCACCAACCAGCAGACTCTTTCTATTTCCTGATATAATAAGCTTTGGAGATGGTTACCAGGCAAGCAAATAGGAAAAGGAAAGCTTTTGTCAATAGTCATTGCACCAATCCTTATTTTTTATCTCTGATCTATTTACCCATTTCTTTAAGTTAGTCTGAGTTAATGAAGAAGATTTGTGCAACAGTTCCCAATGTTCAAAGGCAGAAGATCCCTGAGTTATTTCTTGATACCATTCCAGGAAAAAGGAAGGTTTTCAGAGTTGTCTCCCAAAATCCAAATTCAAATTGTCGGAAATTTCAGAAAGAATAAAAGGCTCACCCACCCTAATTGATAAGATTATTTTCTTCATTCTATAATAGTTAATGGCCTTAATCAAATAAAAATCATATATGTAGTTCCATGTATCCTGTAATTGCCCCGTGTATTATAATAAATTGGAAAAAACTACAATTTATTTTAAAATGTCCCATTATTTTTCATACATCACAATCCTACAAAACTGTATACCATAAGGAAATAATGCAGACAGATTATTGTTTATCAGCATGCGCTTCTGTAGAATCAAGCCACACATCACATTAAAATGTGACTTGTTTTTTCAACTGAAAATTGTCGGCATGTATTTTTATATTTTAATCTGTTTACCCTTACATAAGGGGTGTCAAACTGCCAGCCCGCGAACCGGTTGCATCATGCAGAGGCTGCACCCACCCCAGCTCCTGCAGTGCGAAAAAAGTCATGATACATCACTACACGTCACGTGACATGGCAAGTTTGACACCCCCCCGTGCCTTACATGATGTATTTCAGCAATTGTATCTTCTATATTTTGAAACATTTGAGGCTTTTAAAAACAAATCAGTTTATTATTTTTTATTCAAGATTAGAGTTTAAAATTATGAAAATATCCCAATTCCTCTTTAAACTTCATCACTCTTCCTCAAAAAGATTTCCATTTTTACAATATTCCCTCTGCATATAAAATGTAGGGGGTAACTTTACTGTAAAAGTAGGAAGTTTGCTTGCAAATAAAAACAACAGTGAGCATTACTATATAGAGCTACAGAAACCAGAAGGCATGTTACAGTATTGCTGTTAATGGTAATGGCATTTTTAATGTGTTAGTGAGAAAATCTGTGAATTCTGCATATTGCAAATCAACCGTGCAGAAAACACATTGTTTAAAATATGCAAGTTATGTTTTGCATATTACCAGTTTAGGGTAGACATTGCAAAAACAGAGACTGCTCAGCACTTGGCAGGCTGCATTCAAAAGTTCTGCATACCTGACACTAGTGCCCGATTCATATTATTGCCCTAATTCCTTAAATATAAGCAGCATCTTTAAAATGTAATTTTTCTGCTGGCAATAAGGTCTGATATAGCCATGAGTGGAATTATACTAAGATCCAGTCTACTCTACAACCAGAGAACCCCCTCCATAATTGGGGAAACTGACCTGTTTCATACCTGAAAAAGTATGAGTCAGGTATTTGATGTCCTAAGAAATTACCTGAAAAATGATTGCCTGGGGTTGCACCAAGTATTGTCTCATCAGCATGGAGCACCACTGCCATAGCATGAAGGAGAAAAAAAACAGAAAAATCAGGAGAATAGTTTATTTGCTATTTTAAGAGTGCAGAGAATTTTAAAAATTACTTTTAAATTCTTATTATTGGAGGCACTCTTTTTTCTGCAATTCCTGCTAATTAATCTACATGATAGCAGGAAATTGACATGTAGTTAAGTATTGCCCAATGATCTGAGGCAGAAGTGCAGCTGTGATATACATACTTGGCTCTCTAAAGGTATCTAGGCCTTGTGACATGAATCTCATTCAAATACAACAGCCTGAAGAACTGGTAAACCATGAAACTCAACAATGTCCATCAGCATCAGCCATGGATTGTGATTTGCCAGGTGCTTAATCACACAGCTAGGCAACAAAGAAAACAAGCAGTTTACCAGGTCTTTAGTAGGCCACCATACTTGGTTAATGGGCTGCAATTTGGCTTAGTGAAGCTCGGTTAATGCAGGCCCAATGTACAAGTTTCAAAAAAAATAGTCCAAATATTTATAAAGTAGGGTATAATAGTATGAATAAATGAGATATTGAAGGTATAATTAGGTAGCAAAATGCTCTTTGGATGCAGCCCTGATCTGTTATTCCCCCAGATAAAAAGATTTCACCTAGGAAAGTTAGCAAACACCTCAACAGCAAACTAAGATGCTTGAGAGCCACTGCCAGCCATTAACACTATTCTAGGTATGCTAAACACACTAGGGATCTGACTCAGGGTTATAACTCAGACTTGTATCTTTATAAACTGGTGGGGCAGTTTACAAATCATGTGATTTACAAAGGTACAATCCATTAGTCAGGTATGGTGGCCTACCAGGTGCTGGATTACTAAATCTTGTATCTACTGTAAAACAAGCAGCAAAAATAGGAGGTAAATCAACTCCCTGTAGGGAAGTGAGTTGACGGGTGCATTCTTTGGTAGATTACAATATTTCCACAATAGTTTAGATTCAGAAGGTTGATCAAGAATCTGCTCTGCTGCTTAATAAGTCTCCTCTGTTCAGCCACCTTCACATGATCAGGTTTCTATAGATTGTGGCAACAAAATGCAAATAGAGGTTTTTTTTAAAAGTTATTTATTTCATCACTCAAGACACTCACTAGAACTCACCATTAAGCTGCACTGATTCAGATGACTAATAGATGTAGGGAACTTAGCTAAAAATGGTAAACTCTGGGAAAAGTGCAATTATCTCCCACTTTCCTAATACTGAACAAAGTGTTCTCAACCTTCCACATCCGGTGATATCATTCTTTTCTCTTAAATAAAACAATCTGGTACTTTCTATAAGTACTGGGGCCCCATTGTTTAACAGAGCAGTGTTTCTCAATTTAAGCAATAGACTTTAAATCCCAGAATTCCTTAACTGGCTGGGGAGGGGAATTCTGGGAATTGAAGTTCACACATCTTAAAGTGGCTAAGATTGAGAAAAACTGACTTAAAGTCTTTTGTGATAGAAGGCTCATAAATGAATGCATATATGAATAAATGTCTGATGTTTCCAGTAATCAGGTTCATATTGTGAAAACTGAGGTCCATCATATCTAATAATCTAATTACTTATTGTTGTTTTGCTCTCAGTGTTTAATAATAAATGTACAGGATTCTGCCAGTTTTAAGCATACAAGCAAAGAAAGCACAGAGATATAAGCACCAAGCATAAATCAACCTAAAAACAAAAGAAAAAGTAAGCACATTTTAACTTCCATATACCAACACAGCATGAACTGAAGTTATCCAACAGTGAATCATAACTACAGACACTGAATCAATTGAACCCATATTCATTTATAATTGAGTCATATATTCTTTATTGCTCTTAAAGTAGAGACAAAAAAAAATGCAAAAATGCAAAAATATAAATGCATGCATTATGTACATTAAAGAAAAAAGAAAGAAAAAGACATAAGGGCAAGGAAAGGAAAGGAAAGGAAAACTGAATTACATATTTAAGTGTATTATCCTTGCATTATTCCTCATTTGCTAACATACCTAACAGGCATTAAACATTGTCTCCGCATCTGACTTTTGGGGTTTTTAAATTATTAAAGGCAATGGGAGAAAAAAAGAAAGGGAATGTCCTTCCAGTTCAACTACAATATGAGAAAAATAATATAGCTTATCATAAATAGTAGCTACAAGGGTTACTGAAATATTACTTGTAAGTACTTTATGATTTAGAAAAATAAAACACTATGTAAATATGAAACCCTTATTATCTGAAGCACAATAAAACCTACTGAAAACATAGGCTAGATTAGAAGGCTTCTCCTATTCTGGTACACACACTGAAATGTATAAGTCTATTGCAGAGAAATATTAATACTCAGTTGAGGAAGTCAGTGGAAAGAACCTTACAGCAATATCACACTTTTTCAGTGTGGTATTGCTGGAAGATTTTTTTTCCCCTGACTTTTTCAGCGACACCATATTACTATAAGAATGCTGGTCTTTTTAAAATTTAATTTTTAATAAAGTGATCCCATTAACTCTCAAGTACCTTCCTAGCAATTTTTTATTTAAACAGTGGCATCTCTATTTACTGGTTTTTTTTATTACAAGCCATTTCTAAATAAAAGAACTGTAGTCTTATATTTTGAACCCAGTTCCGAAGTTTGGAAAATTGTGAGAAGCTGATTATAAAAGATTTTAAGCAACAGCCAGTCAACCATCTATAAGATATACAGTACATGCACTTTCCAGTTTGAGGAGCAAATTAATATGCATATCTGGGTTTGTTGTGTACTATCATCAAAACAAGGACTTGTTTGCACAGACTGGTGCTGTATGTTCAATACTTCTTTCTCAGATGAAGATGGGGGTAGATCTAAAGAGGCCCAGAGAGAAAATCAGCAGTAACACCAATCAGCAACTCTGGGGAATTATCTTATGAATTATTATTATTCCTGTTTGTTTCTTAATCTTAGGCCTACATAGGCTAGCTGTTTTACATTCAGTGAAAAACAAATGTTTTGGAGCTCATGGTCAAATTGTGGGTTTGGAACTCTTTCATTGATTCAGTACTATAATGCTTTTTTCATTCTGAAGTTGTTAAAAGGCCTCAAAAGATTATTGTTTTATTAGGCCAATAATTTGCCAGGTGAAGGCAATTCCACAGGTAAGCTAATTCTCTTAATTCTTCTAGCCCAGTGGTTCTCAACCTTTTTAATGCCGCGACCCCCAACCGGTCGTAAGTCGAGGACTAAACCAGTCGTAAGTCAAGGACTAAACCGGTCGTAAGTCGAGGATTAAACCGGTCGTAAGTCGAGGACTACCCAACCAGTTGTAAGTCGAGGACTTTCCCTGCCCGAGAGCTCCGCGCATGCGTGGCTCCGCCCCCTGCACTGGCCGAGGCGTAGCTGGCAAGCGGCAGAGATGGAGCAGGCCGACCACCAGCTGGCCCAGCCCAAGGGAGGTAAGGCACCCGCCGGAAAAGGGGAAAAAATGGCGGACAGCCTTGCTTGGCGACCCCCGTGAAATGGTCGATCGACCCCAAATGGGGTCGCGACCCATAGGTTGAGAACCGCTGTTCTAGCCACTCATGTTGTGACTCTTGTTCTGTCTCCTTTCAACTAAGCGGTGGGCTCCCCTAAGCAACTGTCTGAACATTGACAATGAAAATAATTTGCTCTTACAAAACAGGCAAAGGCTATTAAATAATCTCTGAATACTTACAGCTAGCAATTTCAACTGTGAGAAATGCTGTTAAGAAATGGGAGATGCATGGAATTGTGTCCATCAAGGACCAAGGAAAATCTCTGCCTGAACTGCTTTAGGACTTGTCAGATCTACAAAACCGAACTCACGATTCACTGTGCAGGGATCTACTAAAATGATTGGCTAACTAACCCCATAGCATTTGCCCATAGGTCTGCAGGATAGTGCTGCTCATATAACAGTAATCTGCCTTGAAGGGTAGCCATAAGGAAATCTTTTCTCCCATCATGTCACAAAGCCATTGTTTAAAGTATTGGGGGGGGGGGGTCCTTGAACTTCTTTGGTACCAAATGGTTTGGCTGATGAAATCAAACTTGAATAACAACATGCAGTTAAAGGGTAAAGCATTTGAAGAAAAGCTCTTCTTGCTAGCTATTAAGCATGGAGATGGCTATACTATGTTTTAGGTTGTGTGGCAGCAAGTGTCTCTAGATATATTGTATGGGTGAAAGAAAAAAATAGATTCAATTAAATACCAACATTTCCTAGAAGTTAATGTTCCATAGTCAGTGAAAAAACTGAAGCTGAAAAATACGTATCTCCAAAGCAACCATAAGGAACCTACAGAAAAAGGATAAAAAAAATTGGAAACTAGGAAATTTTCCTAGTTTGCACTTTTGGATATTATTGAAAAATCTGTAGGAGATTTCAAATATACATTGCAGGCAAGGAGATCTGAGCAAGAGAAACTCTACAAGGAAGAGTCGGGGAAAACCGAATCCCGAAAAACAAGAATAAAAAGATTTTTCCAGGCTACAGGAAACATTCGGAAGCTGTTATTTCTACTTATAAGGAATAAACGGGTGTCTGTCTAAACCTCTGCATATTCATTGTCCATTGTCACAATTATCTACAAATAGTAAGTATTCATTCAAATTGGCAGAGAGATATCATGCTTATCTCTGTATCATGCAGAGATTGTGTCAGCTTCAATTCACTTACAGATTCACTGAAACATAGAGTTTGATCAGATGCACCTAAATTTTTGCATGTAGCTATTAATATATGTAAAATATACAGTGCCCTCTATACTTTAGGACAATAAATTTTGGATTAAAATGCTTTGGGATACTCATCTGCATAAGCAGTGTTCTGACAAATGTGGTTTGTATATTGGGGGAATCCCATTCCAGAGTCTTTAACATGAAGATTATTACTCTAATGAGGCACAACATTTGCAGTAGAAGCAGAAAACAGGGAAAATAAATAGTAGGAGGATTTCCATTCTTATAATTTATTAGGTCATTTTCCAGTAACTTATATCTACACT